CTGACCTGTCTGCACCTGTCCCTCCTGGGGGCCGCCTGTGCTCCCGCCCTCTAGGGAGGGTGCGTCCCGCAGGCCTCCCAGGCTGAGCGGGAGCGAGACTTTCCCAACCCAGCCAGGAGCCCATGGCAGGGGCGAGGGCCGGGACCAACAGGGGCGGTCACTGCAGAGCCGCTGGGCTGCCCATCCCGGCCCCCACCCCCTCCGCCCCCTGCTGATGTGGGTGAGACATGGTGGTTCACATGCGGGACTGTCTCGTGGCTATTTACAGAACCCCACAGGTTTCAGCAAACGGAAGATAGAGACCTCCCGGCCAAAGGGGCCCTGGGGCCCAGCCCCCGCGCCCCAGGACTGTCCTTCAGGAGCCGGGTGCAGACGGAGCCAGTGCGGAGGACAGGCCTGGGCCGGCAGCCCATCCAGGCCCGCTGCGGCAGGGGCCGGCCGGGCTGCACACAGGCACTCGCTGCTCCAGAAGAAGCTCCCCCCGCACGCCGCAGAGCAAACCACAGAGCTGAAGAACTGGCAAGGGTTAAGTCAGAGCAGACACCGAGACTTTGACCTTAATTACCACTGCACTTTGCTGCTGCACCAACTGGGAGCCTCTCCCTGATACCCTGTCCTCCCCTCACCCTCTCCTTAATCAGCCCTGGCCATCTGCCCGCGGCCCTTCGGGCTCGCTGCTCCTGCCCTGCCTCGCTTTGGCCTTCCAGATCTCGATCTCCAGGCTCAAACCTTGACCTTCAAAGGCCAGGAGCAATTACTATGGCAGAGCCCAGTTTCAAATGAAAAGTGAGGCCCCCTGGCTTGAAACTCAAGAACTGGGGGGAGGGGGGGCGCGGGGGGGCCAGAAACAATAACCATACAAAACACAGCACAACAAAACAGACACTTATAAGCCAGAGACCCTGCAGGGGTGGGGCAGGAGGAGGGAGATGGGCAGGACGGAGGTGACGGCGCCCGGGGGGAACTGGGGCAGGGAGCCCCATGGGGTCTGCACCTGACTGGGACGTGCTCAGCAGTGGACAACAGCCTCCCTGGCGTGCAGGGGTCAGAGTGCAGCACTGCGAAGCTGTCCACAGCAGCACGAGTTCGATCCCCGGCCAGGGGGACCCCCAGGGCGCAGCAGACCTCTCCTGACCCCCCGCTGTCCCGCAGCAGTGTGTTAGTGGATTTCAGTGGGTCTGCCTGTTCTCCTCCCCACTCTGTCCCTGGTGAATCCTCTCACCTCTCACACTTCTGGCCTGTACCCCAGTTCTTCTAAGCAATAAGTAAATAAATCTTTAAAAAATAAATAATAAAAAATAATAATAATGTGAAATATTTATAAATATTTTTTTAAAGATTTATTTATTTGTGCATACAGAGCTGGGGTACAGGCCAGAGGTGCAGGGGCGGTGAGAGGATTCACCAGACACAGAGTGGGGAGCAGAACAGGCAGACTGATGAAGCACACTGCTGAGGGGAGCAGCGGGCGGGTCAGGAGAGGTCTGCCGCGCCCTGTGGTCACCTCCTGGGCAGGCGGGGATCGAAATCATTGCGAAGTGGCTTTAGCTTCTCAGTGCTGCGCTTTAACCTGCTGCGCCACCAGGGAGGGCCCTATAAATAATTTTTAATTTAAAAATAATTTTGCCACGGGGATTACAACTGAGATGGAAAAAGGCACAAAATGATGTAAAAATAAACGATTATGTTATTAATAAAAAATAAATAAATAAACTCACTTTGCAAAGAAAATAAAAGAGCTTCAGGGAAGCCACAGGTTCGCAGAGCATTAGACAGAGTAGAGCCTTCTGCAGCCGGGACACCACCAGGCTGCGCCCTCGAGGCCAGGCTGACCCCAACCTCCGGCTGGCTTTGCCCCAGAGCCCACCGGGGTCTCTTACAGAGACCCTGCAGCTGACCACTCAGGACCGGCTATGCGGTGACCCTCCTGGGAGCCTGATGGAGGAACCTCTTGAGACCGCCCAGCCAGGGAAATGGCCGGCCAGTGAGAAAGCAGCTCAGGAACCCAGAGAAGCTACTTGCAGGCCCTGCCGCTGGCGGGGGCCAGTTCGTTGCCGGGTAACTCAATCGCAGGCGCGCAAACTGCTCAAGAACTGGCCGGCGCACCGAACAGACATTTCCCCAAAGAGGGCACCAGAGTCACTGATGGTCAAGGAGACGCAAACCCAGCCCGCCTGGGACACACCCCGGGCCTGTGGGGTGGCCAGCACCCAAAGACTCGAGAGAAGTGTTGGGGAGGCCGTGGCTCACGAATTGGCACAGCCTCTGTGGACACAGTGTGGTGGGGCTCAAACGGCCCGGGGCTCCCCCTTCCAGAATAAGTCCAAAGTAGGGAGATGAAAATAGGGTCTTAAGGGGAGATCTGCACCCCCAGATTTACTGCAGCATGAGCCCTTGAGCCAAGGGAGGGAGGGAATCTAAATGTACATCCAGTTAGATGAGTAAAGACAGGCTCTCCACAGACGGGGGAATATTACTCGGCCATGACAAAGGAAATCCTGCCGCTCGTGACCGCGTGGATCTGCCTCGTGGGCGTGACGCTGAGTGACGTAAGTCGGGTGGAGAAAGACACGTGCTGCGTGCTCTAACAGTGGGACGCTAGCGGGCAGGTGGGTGCAAGCAGGGGCTGGACCTGGGGGGACGGGTGGGGGGGCCTCAGTGACAGGGTGTCAACTTCCCGGGAGCCGGTGGATAAGTTCTGGGGATCTAGTGCAAAGCGTGGCAATTACTTGAAGACACTGAGAGTGTGTATTAGATGTCTTGCCCCAGAAGAAAAGATGGGGAGATCTGGCCGAGGCCAGGTGGCCATCATACCACGACGGACAAGTGCATCACCCCGGCAGCCTGTGCCCTCTGTGACAGGTGAGCGACAGCTCGTAAGCTGGGGAAGTTGTGACTGGGCCATCCCTCAGGGGCCAGCTGCGTCCTGGCCCTAGAACACCACATGCCCC